TCGCCTAACGGCTTGTGCGCCACTTTTTTGTTCTTATATCACATTTTGACGTCATCTGTGATCTATTACTGAACTGACGCACGGCAACATGGAAATTATCTACATATACTTGTTAAATATAGCCAACACTAAATTAGACCAATCTGCACACGTGTTAAAAGCAAATTGCTTTTTTCAAAATGAACAGTACCACAATGCGAGTAAGGGGTTTTCTGAAACAAATATATAGCTTTGTGACTTTAACAAAGATCTATAGATGGGTCACATTTTACTCAGTGCACTGAATGCCTTATATAGAGGCTTTTAATTCACAAAAAAAGTAACTCCTACACACCCTACGTGTTTATGTTTGATAATTAGCCGTAGTTCAACACAAATATTTGTGAGTGTATCGAAATTTTACATAATAATTAGAAGTTCAATGATCTGATGATTTGACTTAATCTGAGACATCTACTGCTATGTTATAAACAGAAAGCAGGGTTCAACTTTTAAAAAGTAGCTTTCTATAGATGCCTTGTGTTTACATGTACACGTAAAAGGTAAAACTTTCATTCTCACGCATTCTAATCTTGTAGACACATAGCAATTGGATCTAGAAACACACCAGTATGTTCTCCTGCATTTTGTAATCAGTATATAAGCTTAATTTCGAGAGTTGTGCTTGTCTACTGAACTTCACAGACAAGTCAGTCCTTTACCTTTTTTACGCCCAATTGTCAACAGCTTTTGCTTGTCATTCAAGTGAAGGAGTTTAACATATTAAATGCTATTGGCTGTTGCCTCCAACTTCCAATGGCGTCAAAATTTGCAACATAATGCACAACTTTTTGCTAATGTTTGCATTTTGACTGCATGATAACGATACAATGAATTTGATGAGTTGATTGATTTCAAACACACTTCAGGAACCATAACACATAAAAACAATGCAAAGATATCCTAAAGCTCCTAACAAAAGACTAACAGACCTGCATCTGATGCTACTCGTGAAATAATGCGTGCTTTCAATAATTCTTGACATTAGTTCATCTGAATTTTGCTGACGGTATCTGCCAGATGATGAAGATATGAAAAGCTGTACCACAGTCTTCATTCAATTGCAGAAGCTAAATTTTCCAGTCCACATGTACATTCCGAACCCCCTCATGTTTCCCAACAATCAGCTTCAATCTCCCCTCTTGATTGCACCTGATTAATCTTTTTGAGTCATAGGATACTTGAGATACTGTTTTACTATAAAAATGCAACTGAACTTAGTTAGAAAATAACTTCAAACTCACCACCAACAGTCAATGTAGTATTGCCACTTTTTCCGATCCCTTGGATAGAATTATTTGCCTCGCATCTAAACACAAACTGGCCAGCATTTTCCATCTTTTTAATCCAAGTTCCTGATATTCCCATATTATTTATCACAGTGTCATTTCCATACAACAAATAAGTGTGTACTGGTGGGTTAGCTTCAGCAGTGCATGTGAAGTTTATTACAACTCCTGTACACACTAATTTGCTTGTTGTATTTGTGGTTAAGATGACATTTTCAGGTCCATCTGCAAAAGAAAAACACACTGTGACTTTTCATCTGAGACGGACTAACTTCATTCTTCTTTCTGTACATGTATTCAAATGGCTAGGACGCACATTGCCATATGCATTATGAATGTTTGCTTACAAATGATCCCTCAAACAACCCTTGTAGGTTTGCGGGACAATTCAGGACAGTTCCTCTATTTCAGTGGGAATGGGATCCCAGTGCACAATGGGAAGTTGAGTGCAATACCATCGAGTATACAACGGTTCTCCTGTATTCTGATTGGCTCCATTTTCTATCAGTATGGCATGGTATAAATCAAGATACAATATATTTGTGCTGCGTAGAAAATATATAATTTCTTAAGGTCGCTTTCAAAATGGTTTGAGATCACATCCAGCTCAGAAACCCCTTTCTACATAATTTGACCTTTTTTGGTACTCAAGGAGAGGGAGTTATTACATGTTGTTAGAAAAGGAACCGTCAGGGTCAATCTACCATGAACAGCTCCTAGACACTAAGACCTGATGCACACATTTTGTAGCCTGCTTACCTCCTCTGCCCTTCTTACAGTAATAAACTTTTCCAACTAAAATCTCGTGTAAAGAGATCTAATTGCGTTCTTACATTGCACATTAATGTTCATCACTGTAAATGCCTCTCCACAAGTGTTGTTTGCAGTGCACCTGTACTCTCCAGCTTGAGCTCGGTTGATGTTGCTGATGTTCAATGGATTTCCCTTGATATGCTTACCAGACGTGACATTTGTCCACATAAAAGTTGGATAAGGGTTACCTGCAGTCACACTACAGGTCACTTCCACATCACCACCTTCTGTGACGGTTTTATTTTCCACCTGCTCCACAGATACTGGGACTGAAAAAGACAATCAAATGTACATCTAAAGTATGTCACAACTTACGTTACATCAACTACACTGTGGGCTGTATACGTAACTTGAATTGGTTCCTTAACGAAAGAAGTTAGATTTTCTGAAGCACAGAGTTAATTACTACACTGTATATGCAAAGTACGTAGTGGAAGTGCTTGAGTTATGTGTGGAAGAGGACGGAAGAAAAATGATCACAACTTGTTATGGGTAATTAACCAAGTATAATGCTACCCATTTCGCAGGCAGAAGTTATGAAAAGAGATAGACATTATCAAGAACATATCCTGAAAGGTATTGGCCTAAATAACACCTTCTGTAATCTGCGTTACATTGGTTACCTTCAGACAACAATTGTAATAAAATATCCTGCCCAGATAATTGTTTCATCTGGAGCTTTCATTCAAAAAGAAAGTAAAAAGTAGGAGAAACTAGGAATCTGCTAAAAAAAAAGAACAAAATAGGACCTGGAAACCTAGTACTGGTACCGTCAGCATGACTGGGATCCCTAGTTCTGCTGAGGGCAGAAAAATTTCAAAATATTGTAAAAAGACTGCTGGAACGATTGACAGAAACTCTACAAAAAAAAAATTTTAAAAGCCTTTGGAATTGTGGTAGCAAAGCCACAAAACATTTTGACACAATTTTAAGAAAATGTTACAGACACAAACTGGAGCAGACTGGAGAATTATGATCACACCATGCACATCCTACATGAATATTTCCACTCAAAATTAAGGCAATTCATGTGGTTATCAAAAAGCCACTGCTGTAAGGGAGCACTGTCTACTAATTGGTCTAACTGCACTTTGATGAGCATTTGGGAGGACGTATGGCTGAGTGGTTAGGGCACCGACTTGAAATCACGAGTTGTTTCTAGGTAGACCCTAGATCATCTCCTTTGTCACGTTTGGAAATAGTCAACTGGTCTGCCTCCCTCCAGTTGGGATTTTTAAGCCTATTACGTTTACTTAAGGGAAAAAGTTTTTTTTTTTAAGGTTAAGTCGCATGCCCAAAAGAACTAGCTAGTTGTAGCTAAGTGCATCAACCACTATATAAGCATTCATCATTTCACATTTTTTAACGCACCATTCAAAAGTTATTAAAAAACCATGAAGCCATTATTTTGATAGTCATGATATTTGTGAAATTTGGAACATATAACAAAGTTGGACTCCACAGCATAAAATTCCATGAATATGTAAAATTAAATTTCATGACCTATGAGAAGCATCTAATTTTCGAGTCATTAATTTCCATGAAAGTATTTTAAGTGCACACCATGAAATATTCTTAATTCTCAATCATGGGATCAATACATGAGTATGTGACTGCATACATGTAGTCCTGTAATGCTAGAGCAAACTTTAAAACACATGTTTTCTTAGGAAAGATCAAAGAACAGTTGATAAAGCTTTCGATTAGCAATATGATAGGATCATTATTTGATGCCGGTAATTGGTGCAAATTATTATACTAAGTCTTTGGATAATCCAAATTTTACATAAGCCAGCTGTTGCAGATGCAGTATGAAAAAGATGGAGTCATACATAATATCCATAGCTTAGCCACTCACTTTGCCTGGCAATCATCTTCCCGTTTGCTTGTGATAACACCTAACTAATCTGTTTTAATGACTGATTGCTCTAATATGACTCTTGAAATAATTTAGTCATTACCCTCAACAGTCAAGACAGTATCATTACTTGTTCCAATCCCTTGGATTGAATCAATAGCCTCACATCTGAAAACAAACTTGGTCATCGAGCAGACAACTGTAAAATGGTCTATTCTATT